ATGATTGTTGGGTTTTTTTCTCTGTATCTATGAAGCGCCTTGAGGCGACTTATGTTGTGATTTGGCGCTATATAAATAAAATTGAATTGAATTGAATTGACTAGACAAAGTCATAGAAGCAGCAGCAGGGAAGATAAGGGAGGAAGAGGGTGAAATATGCGTCCGCCTCCTCCAAGAGCCACAGAAGACAAAATTATACAAAAAAAATATACACACAAGGTAACAAGGGACATTCACAACAGGAGTGAGACACAGCCGAACCTAATAGACATGACGAGACAGCGAGGAAGGTTTAATAATATTTTAACTGCTTTAAAGCAAGTCTAGTGATGTTTGTCCACACAAAGCACTACTTTGGGCTGCATTCACTTTATTGTTGGAAAATGAAGCTGAAAGGGTGCAGCAAAGAAAATGCAGGCACACTGGCAGGTCTCTCGGGCACTTTACACAAAGGACAGTATTGCAAGTGAAAAAGTACTGCCTCTGAATATGTTTTGGGTCTTCGATTAAAGAAATATCATGTGTGAATTTAACCCCTATATTAAACGTATACCTCAGCTACAATGAGACTCTTGAAGGACAAATTTAATCTAAAGAGCTGCTTTTACATGAACAGACTGATACAAAATACATTGCTTAGTTTTAGTTTTTTAATAAATCATTTGACTCAAGACTTTTGCACAGTATTGTACATATTTTTAAGTAATAAATATCGTACCATGTGCATGTGGACATCTCTGATGTCCATCAGAGAGTCTTCATCTAGTGTTTTGAGATTAAATTTTACATATTTTACATATTTTGCTTGTTTCCTGTTGAAATATGAAAATGCTTTGTCATTGCACGTGACTATCTCCCAGCAGGTCACATTAAACATTAAAGTTAATGACGAGTTTTCCAAGAATCAGGAGGAGAAAAAAAGCAACTCTATCCTCTGTGTCACACACGTTACACCCGTGCTCAGTGATTGGTGGAAACATACGTCACATCTGTCACGAGCTCCTCCATGGAGTATAAACACAGGGACCCGCGAGTGTGCTGTTTCACACCAGGGGAGGAATCTTTGAGGAGTTTTTGCTTCAACAGTGTTTGAACGGAACTTCTTGACTTCGTCCCGCTTTGTATTTCAGCTACTCTGCACTTCGGAAGAAAAAACATTTTCTACTTGAACACTACACATAAAGTCGACGTGAAGCTTTATTTTTGCACCGTTTTTGTTAATAAAAAGCACAAGAAACGCCAGCCGAAATGGAGTCCCAAGTGCGTCAGAACTACCACCGCGACTGCGAGGCCGCCATCAACCGGATGGTGAACATGGAGCTGCTTGCGTCTTACACCTACACTTCTATGGTGAGAACACAGAAAGAGTCCATCATCAAAGCAGACTCTTTTCTGAGGAATGTTTACTATTTTGAAATGACGGCACTGTGTGCTGTTTAAATGTAAAATCATTTTATTATGAATATTAAGGTTAAATGGCGCAGCTAGAACAGGGATGTAATTGTAGCACACTAAGATGTATTGTGTTAATGCAGCTTTTTAACAAATGACAGATTATTTTTTAACAGTGTTAGATATTGACTTGTGCTCTTAGGTGAAAGTTTAAAGGTCACAATGTGAAACTGAATCATGAAATTTCAACAGATGTTTTGACAGTTATATATTTTTCTCAGTTAATTGTATGTTTAATGGACAACAGACCTGGAGAGCATTTGCTGCTCCACTCATACTTGCAGCAACCCTAAACAGTGCAAGATTCTGTGTTGGTGGGTGTCAAGTTTGAATTGTTGAACTAGCAGCAGAGTGGGGTCTTAGTCTCTATTTCAGCAGTTACCTCGGTCTAAACCAGCTGAACTGTCCATCATGAATCATTTCTGTCTCCATAACTGTTTGTCACGATGCTGTATTTGCAGAAGAATTGGTGCTGTGTACTAATAACCTGTGTCTGATTTGTCAGGCCTTCTACTTTGACCGTGATGATGTGGCCCTGCCAGGCTTCTCCCACTTCTTCAAGGAGAACAGCCATGAGGAGAGGGAGCACGCTGACAAGCTGCTGTCCTTCCAGAACAAGAGAGGAGGTCGCATCTTACTCCAGGACATCAAGGTGTGTACAAACTGAACCAGTCCTGCTGTGACATACCTGACTGTGTCTGACACAGAAACTGGGATTAATGAGCAGTGTTATGACACTTGTTCTCTTCCTGTTGTTGCATTAGTGTGTAATGTGTACACAGAGCTTAAAACAAGTGTTCAGTCTCTAACACAATTGTTTGTTGTGCAGAAACCAGAGCGTGACGAGTGGGGCAGCGGGCTGGAGGCCATGCAGTGTGCTCTGCAGCTGGAGAAGAATGTCAACCAGGCTCTGCTGGACCTGCACAAGCTGGCTTCTCAGCATAATGACCCTCATGTAAGTGGGAGTTGGAGGGAAGAGTTTGGGGTTAAAGACTGAACTAGTTGATGCTGTGTATGTTTGACAAATCATCAAATGTTAACTGTAGTTTGTTTTCCCAGCTGTGTGACTTCCTGGAGAGCCACTACCTGGATGAGCAGGTGAAGTCCATCAAGAAGCTGGGTGACCACATCACTAACCTCACCCGCATGGATGCCCACAACAACAAGATGGCAGAGTACCTGTTTGACAAGCACACTCTGGGTGACAAGAGCTAAATGCTGAGACGTAGAAGTGAGCCTGGAGTCAGCATGTTAACAACACAGGCTTTGAAGTAAACTCACTTCTGCTCCAGCTGATTCTTTCCTGATTTCCTCACTTTAAAGCTGGCATCAGTTCTTGTATGTTGTGGTGTTTGTGTGAAATGTCACATGGAGCGATGAATGTTATCAGGGTATGGCTCTGCTTCTAAGCTGTCTGACATTTGGAAATGTTTCTGATCTGTTCATCTGAATAAACCTTTTGAGCTGGATCTTTGGTCTGTCTGCATCTGTGACTCATTTTACTGATTAGTTCAAGCAGTTGGTCTAAAGACTAAATAAATCACTGCTTCTTTACCTTGTCGACTTTGTCAGATTATGGCGTTGACAAAGGTCGTCTCAGGTGTGTGAGTTAATATTTTTACACATTGGGACCAAATACAAACAAGACCATATCAGATGTAAATGTTACTGGATATCTTTTGGTTTTCTCCCCAGTGAAGTCTCAACTTGACCTACACTTTATCTGGTACACCTATTCAGCAGCCTAAGGCAAACAATCGTGTGTGTGTGTGTGTCTTAACAGTGCGCTCTTTTCACTTGCATACAATTTGTGGTGTTCTTAAAGCACAATGACAAAGAATCTGATCTATGAAGCATCACACATCCCAAACAGCACAATTATATTGGTTCATGTAAACATCTTAATATAACAGCCAATAATTAACTTGAAAATATGGAATCACGTGGACATGTGATCCAATGTCTTGCTATAAATTTTTGTTGGGTTTATTTAATTTGGCACAAATCTTTGCCTTATTATTAACATTACTTTTGTAATGCACCATCGCCATCTACTGGAGACACTCCATACTGCAGAGTGAAATCATTTCCTTCTTTATAGCAAGTAAAATCTAAAATGAGCTAAAGGTGTTTTTATATTACACCCTGAAAAAAAACTTTATGTACCTTGTTGTGCCTTATTCAGTAATAACAAAACTAAACATTTTTTCAAATTATTTATTTTCAGGAACTAAATAAACTCAAAAAAAGATTTGTAGTCATTTTATTCACTTGTATTAATGTTATCTAGAAATAAAATCACATCACAAAGAAATCCTCTCTCACTCTTGAAAATCCAGGTATTTGCTCAGTTTTATACCCATGTTTTGGAAAGTATCCATGATTAAAATTCTGACTTTATGTTGTAAGGTAAAGAGCCTACGATAATACAGAGAAAACAGAGAACACCCAACAATCAAATGACCCCCTAAGAGCAAGCGCTTTGGCAATATTGGGGAGGAAAAACTCCCTTTTAACAGGAAGAAACCTCCATCAGAACCAGGCTATGGAGGAGTCGCCATTTGCCACGACTGGTTGGAGGTGACGGGAGGAAATCGGGACACGACACGCTATGGAAGAGAGCCAGATATTATACATAACTAATAATTAAATATCGAGAGATGTATAAACACATAGTGACTAAAAAGCTGACTGGAAGAAGAAACACTCAGTGCATCATGAGAGTACCCCAGCTGCCTAAACCTATTGCAACGTAACTGAGTATTCTGTCCCTCGGATTATTTCTGAGGTTGATGTTATAGGACAGGTCGTAGTCATTCTTGCTGTAAGTAATTGAATAGATGCGTCAACAAATATGTTCATTCCTGGCCTGCTCATGGCAAAAGCCTGCCCTCTAGTGGGTCAACAGCAGAAACTCCTAGTAAGGGGAGAGAAGGAGAGTTTAGCTCCGAGCACTTTGCAGGGGAGGTCCGGTGCTTTGTGTCTCTGACGATTCCTGCTTCTGTTGCTCTTGAGATGGCATAATCTTTCTACAAGAATGAAAGTATCTCTCTCTGGCTGCCAAAGCTGTTTCCTGTTAAAAGGGAGTTTTCCCTTCACTGTTGCTTGCTATGAGTGCTTGCTCTTAGGCTATATTTGCAGTCACTCAGTGAGAGTCCTGGAAGAGACAGAAGTTGAGGGTTGTTACATTTTGAGCTTGTCCACTCTTTTACTCTTCAGTTAAGTTGCATTTGGATTTTAAATGTTCTGTTCAGATTTCCAGACTTTTAATATAGATGCATGATATAACTAAAGATTAGCATCCTCTCATTTCAAGCCAGCTGCCTTTCTCCTGGGACCTTTTTACATAATCCTACTCCCATTAAGAAGTATTATTAGAAGACACAGGATGCATTTCCAATGCAATGCAGCTGATACCCAGTTATGGTTATCTATGAAGTCAGATGACACAAATAGGACATGTCTTATAGACATGAAGGCCTGGATGGCCTCTAATTTTCTGCTTTGAATTCAGACAAAACTAACCCTAAAATTCTTAAAAACATACCATCTAACCAGATACTTACCATGGATGGCATTACCTTGGCCTGTAGAGACACTATGAAGATTTTTGATCAGCCAAAATGATGGACACCACAAAAGATGGACATCACACATCAACTAAAAAGCACATTTATTTTACAACAACAAAAATGTGTTGTCAGTTCAGTAGTAATGTGTAGTGTGTGTGTATCTGTGCTGTGCAAAGCAAACAACATTCAAATAAGCCCGAATGCCCTGAAAGACTGAGAGAGGCCAAATACAGCCTCAACATTGCTCTAACTAATACTCCCCTAATACAAGAAGCCCCCAAACCTGGACGTGGACATAGAGGCCTGAGGGCCATCTCACACATTTATTCAGAATAAAACAGGTTTGTGTGTTTGTGTTACTCCAGGATGTCAACATGACACGTTCAAGGACCCAGTAAACATCAGAGCAGACAGCTGTTCATAAACATGTCATAAAAACGTGCTTAAACTACTCAAAGCTGCCCCTGTGACCACTGCTGCAGAGCAGAATAAACAGTACTGATGGGGACTATGAAGGTTTGTAGTTTAATTCCTGCTCTTGCAGGATCAGTGAGTTTAAAGATAAACCTCACGAACACAACTTTAAATCCCCACGACATCACCAACAGTTCTGCAGGAGGACAGAAGCCCCTGATTTAATCTACCATAATGCTCTGTGATATGTTGTCATGGCAACATGAAGTCCAAAAAATACAAATACAAAAATGCAAAAGAAGAGGAGGACAACAAGACAGGCAGCTGGCGGAGCTTTTGAAGCAGGACAACTTTTCTGGATTTATCTTAACTGGAAATTCTGCTAAACAAGTCAAGCTGGAAACAAGGAGGCAGCTGGTTGGATTATATCTGAGGACAGGACGCATGAAGAGAAGCATGAGGAGAGAGGAAACAGCAGAGAGATGCTGTGGAGACGATTGTGGATCAAGTCGAAGAAGCAAGCACCAAAACTGTGAGTAGACATCACACACCAAGAGCTAAAATGACTGTGCTGATTAAGGAAACATTACATTTGGTTAGTTTGGGGTCTGGAGCTTCAGGTTTGTGGGTTCAGTTGGTCTCAAAATTGAAGAAAGACAAAAACATGTTTCTTTCAAAGGTTGTTGGAGGATTCTTACTGTAAGAACTGAAAGTTAATCCGTGGGTTTAACTGATAATTAAATAATTGTAATTGTAATTTTGTAGAAAAGGCTCTGCACCTGTGAAAATAAAAAATAGGTATCCAAGCCCCCGAGGTCACTGCAGATCAAAGTAGCTCAGACCTGGTTAACTATAATTATATTACAGGAGGTGAAAAATATGGGAATGATTCAAAGAAACAAAGATCTGGTTAAAGATTTGAGCTTTCTGATTGAAAGAGATGAAAACTATTCCATGTGTGACACTGAGAAAAAACCGAAAGCTTAATAGATCTGGAGGTCCAACTGTTGTTATACAAATGTGCAAATTTGTTTTAATGACATTAGGAAGAAAAAAATGAATACACGTAGACATTGAGGGCTAGCGGGAGGGACCATGTGCTTACCTGCTGCTCTCTGGCAGGTAGCTCCATGCCCTCCTGGGTTTTAAATACACCTTAGAACACACATGCATCAACACTACA